AGGGGTAAATATTCATATTTAAGTTTTAAAGTTTGTGGGGCAATTCAATCCAGTTATAGGTATGAAGTATTTTCTTAAGGCCAATAAAATGTAGGCCTTTTGGAAATATTTTTTAAGATTTATTTATGCATACAGTTGGGGTATAGGCCAGAGGTGCAGGGGCAGTGAGAGGATTCACTAGAGGCAGAGTGGGGACCAAAACAGGCCCACTGATGAAGAACACTGCTGAGGGGAGCAGCAGGCAGGTCAGGAGAGGTCTGCTGCACCATGTGGATCAACTCTGGGGCCAGGGATGGAACTCGTGCTGAAGTAGCTTTAGCTTAGTGCTGTGCTTTAACCCGCTGTGCCACTCAAGAGGGCCCATCACCTGCTCTTTTACCTCAAGCTTTATTTGATGATGCTTTAACATCAGTACATATAGAGATAGCGTATTGTTTTATAGTAGTTCATGAAGCAGATGCAACATAATTTATCACCTTATTGATAGACATTTAGGTTGTTTTCAATATTTTTTATATAAAAATAAGTATCCAGTATACCTTGTACACATTATCTCTGCATACTTGGGAAACTTTTTCAAGGCTAGATTTCTAGAAGTTGAATGAACATGTCAATGAATCTACAGGTTTTACATTTTAATATGCTGTGTTCATTTTTATTTTTTTTTGAGATCTAAGTATTAAATTAAGTTAGCTATGTTTTATTTAGATTGTTTTAGCCAGAGTTTAACCTCTAGAAAACTTCTGACATGGTTTTGGAGAAGCCCCTTATAAGCAGGAGAAAAGCTGAGAAACTGCAGAGGGCAGTTGAGAAACTGCAGAGGGCAGATTTAAAGCTCATCTAGAAAGCTCTACAGCTCTGTGGTCTTCTCTAGTTCCCTGAGAAAATGAATCAAAACAAACAACATTAAAGTTAAGAAAATTCCAGTGTTCAAATCACATGAAGAAAAAAAATTAATTAAAAATTATTTTAATTAAATGATTAAAAATTAATTATCTTAAATGATACATAAAATATTCCCATTTATGTATGGATTCTAGTCTCTTTAATGTAAAATAATTTCATGTGACAGTATTTTTAATGTTCTTATTTCTTATAAGTTTCAAGATTTTCACAACATAGGTCTTCCTATGGTCTTACAAAGACTTATGCTTCCTAAGACTAGAAACAGTATTTTGGCACAAAAAAATTGCTTTCAATATATCTTTCAGAGCTGCCCTCAACTATCCAACACTCATCTCACTAGCTCCCAGTTTATAGTATATTTGTGAAAACTACATTAAGAAGAATTATATACATCAAGGATGTAAGCACACCTATTTAGATAGATCGATATGACAAATAAGGGGGGAGGGCCTTTGAAACTTTCAGTCACAAGTTCAAATTTCCATAGGCTTAGCATTCAAAATAGTTTGAAAGAAGTTGCATATGCATTTTCTTTTCCTTTCTACAGCTTTTCTCTTCATTCTTGAAAAATTATTACTGAGGTACATGTGATAAAGCCTAAGGAGAGAGCCATACCTGCAATTTCTTTTAAGGGGTCTCTTCTGGATGCATTTTCAGATGATAGGTGAGCTGTTTCTTGCGGTCACAAGATTTCCCTTAGTAGTTACATTCAAAAGTTCTTTTTTAGTACAAGTTCTATGATGTTGACTGAAGTAAGCCCACATGTGAGAGCGTATGCTACATTCAGTTTCTCTCCAGCATAAATCCTGTACTGAGTGAGGGATGACAGGCGACTGAAGGCTTTTCCATTAGTCACTGCATTTAGAGTATTTCTCTCCTGCATGTCTCCCAAGTGTCAGGGGAAAGAAAAGCTGTGACAAAAGATTTTCCCACATTATTTGACTCAAAATCTTCTGCTGCAGCATGGACTTTCTACCGGACAAAAGTGGAGTGGTTGTAGGCAAAGACCTCCCACACTCACTGGACTCTGAGCGCTTGTCTCCAGTGTGACTCCTTGTATGTGGAGTGAGGGAATAGTTGTATCAAAAATCTTTCCCAAAATCTTTACAGACTCAGGGCTTATGTGCAGTATGGGCCCTACCATGTCAGATAGAAGCACAGTGATAGGGGAAGATTTTTCTACATTCACTGCCTTTGTTGGGCTTCTCTGCTGTGTCTATCCCCATAAGATAAGGAAAAGTTTTGTGAAAGGTTTTCTCACATTCTTTGTACCCACTGGGTTTTTCTCCAGGATGGATTGTATCATGCAGTGGATGTTGAAGGTCTTTCTACATTCACTGCATGCATCAGGCTTCTCGCTGGTGTGAATCCACCAGTGGTAGAAGAGGTGGCATCTAGAGTTGAAGAATTTCCACACTCCTCACACTTACAGTGCATCTCACCAGTGTGAAGCCACCCATGAGAACAATGTGTACCTTTTCACAAAGGCTCTTCAACACTCTTAGCATTCATAAGACTTCACTGCAGTGTGAATCCACAGATGGAGTTCTTGTGAAACACTTGGCCACACTCGTTGCCTTTGAAGAGGGTCTACTGCTGCAGCTTGGGGTGGGAGCTTGGAATCTTCACAATGTACCTTGTGGAGTCCTCAAAAATCACAGGAGAAGATGTGTTAAGCCCCTCTGAAACTGGTGAGGAAATTCTTCCGTCACGTGGAGGATAGTGAAGTGGTTTAGCAGGAACCTTATCCACTGCCTCTCCCAGTGAAGAAGAGGATCTTGGAACTAGAGAAAGAGAGACAAATTGGAATGTTCTGCTAAGCACGGGAAAGAGGATTAGTAGTCATTGACTCTGGGAGTTTGAACCTACTTGCAGCTGTTGGGAATGTTCGCTGGGAATTTGAGAGACCTACAGAGGCTGAGGAGGAGAGATTGAAAGATGCTGACATTCCACCTTCCAGGGAAGAAGCTTCTAGTGAAGTGACCTGGTGAGTTGATATTTAGTCAGCGCTTAAATTTTGGTTTATTTTCTGACCTCTGTGCTGGCCCAAAACTTCACTTACATTGTTAAAGAGAGGGGTGGCATCAGTTGATCTGACCTTTTTATTTTCCTGATAAAAAAATTATTTTCATGTTTGATAAATAAAAACTCTGTTGCTGTCACATGCTTGCTCACTTTCATAATATGTGTGAATGAATATTAGGGTCAAGGAAATGAAAGTCCAGGTAGATGGCACCTAAGGAAACCCAAGAGTTCTCTCACTCAAGGGGTTGGGGTAGGAGGCAGAGCAGTCAGGATACAGGACAGAGAGCTTAGCTGTATTTCCAGACAGCAGGACACTCCCCAGGATGGAGGCAGAGGTGTGTGGCAGTGTCGTAGGCAGCTATAAACAACCTGACTAAAGAGCTGCTAGACTTTATCAGCTGGGGCAATCTCAGGATGCTACACCTCTGAGATAATCAGCAGAGGTTCTCCAAGAGTGGTCCTTGAGCTCAGTTATAGTTACTTTTCAAAGTTCACGGAACGCTGACTAGTAAATGCCTTCATTATAATTATTATCATATGGGAAATAAATAGTGAGTTAGCATTGCTACTTGGAAAAAAATAATTTTTTCTTTGATGACTATTCTTTATATGTAACAGTTTACAGAATGATTACTGCCTTCAATTATTGGAACCAGTGCTATTAAATAACCTATATCTTTCAGCAGGAGTTTGGTACAAATTAGGTCACACCAGCAGCTATACTATACCCGGAGTCTGCTCTTTAGGAATTCTCTGGGGACTTTGCATGAGGGCTCCTGTGTCAGCCTGGGCTCCTGCAGGTGACTTAGCCATAGTGAGTATAGACAGCTACCTGTAATTTTTGGCCCTTAAACACACCCATGAGCAGAATGTCCACTGCCATTCCTCTGCCTCCCTTTGACGCTGTACTTCAAACAAGAACATGGACTTTCATCTCTAATATTAGAGAGACTGTGAGTTTGATAAAACCCTGCCGATGTCTGGGGTTTGCAGAAGGACTGTCCACAGAGAGTACCTTACAACGGGTAGTAGTTATGGCTGTTATGCTCTCAGTTCCCAGTTCCTGGCAGCTTCATAGGACTGCCTTTCTGTTCAGAGCCTTTTTAAAATTGAGATAACATTAATTTACAATATTGTTTGAGTTTTAGAGGTACGGGATCTTCCCTTAAGGTGTCGTTACCATCACACCTACCACCAAAATACCCACAGCCCAAAGTTGCTTTTACGAGCGTATCTCCTTCCAAAAGCCCCGAAAGGGGTGAAGATCATTTCATCTGCACCACTTTGAAAAGTCTGTATCTTCATGATGTAGAATTTTTATCTACTATTTTGTTTATCTACTATGCAGATAAAGTTCCACAGGGTCCCACAAGAGATTTAGTTCCTTGTTCCCACAGCTGCTCCATCACCTCTGCTTCACTATGGTTTCTACTTTTTCTAGTAAGTATTTCCATAGGGTTTACTTTCCACTCGTGAGCTCTGTGTTTCACCTATTTCAGAAAATGTGTGGGTTTTATATATGTATATATATATTTCCAGCAAGCAGAAAGAGACGATTCCATCATTTAATCTCAAAATCTGCTCTGAGTCCAGTTTTGGCAGCAAAGGGTCATGTTCCATTGCTGAGAAGATCTAAAGTAGGTCATTTCCACATGGGAAGTCCCTGAGAATGGTAGGTGCCCTTAGACGTTCTCCCACCAGCACTAGGTCCTGCATGGGTCCATGTGTGCTGAAAGTTCTAGAATTGTCTCCAATTTTTTTAAAGATATATTTATTTATTCATACAGAACAGGGATACAAGCCAGAGGTGCAGGGGTGGTGAGGGGCTTCACCAGAGACAGAGTGGGGGGCAGAACAGGCAGAACAGGCTGAGGGGAGCAGTGGGAGGGTCAGGAGAGAGGTCTGCTGCGCCATGTGGATCACCTCCCTGGCTGGGGATAGACCTTGAACTGAAGTGGCTGTGTTCAGCTTGCTGTGCTGCATCCTAACCTGTTGCACCACCAGGGAGGGCCCTGGTCTCCAAATTCATCCTATACTCATGTACAGGTCAGAGAGATCTTCCCTCGCACATGGGTGCTTCCACCATGAAATGTGTAAAAAACATGGAGGAGGAGAAAGAGGAAGAGGAGGAGGAGGAAAAACTCAGTGTGAGCACATACAGGATGATGTAGTCACATCCTCCTCTCCTTTTTATTTTTTCTGGTGCTGGTTGAGAGGAGGAGTCAGGCCTGGGTAATGTAAGAAAACTGGGTGGCAGCTTGCCGTACTCAGAAACTCCCTTCCTGCTGCTGCCAAACCCACACCACAGCCTGGTGGGTTAATCACTCTGCCCTCAGCATGTCTGAATACAGTGGAGGCCATTCCTCCCTCTGCAGCCAGCCCGTGAAGCTGGCCCTTTAAATAATTCTGTAAAGAAAAGAAGTGAAAAAAACCAATGGGCCCTGGGCTCTTAGCAACAGGGTCCCATGACATACAGGCAGGAAAATGAAAATCAAAATAGTGACTTTTAAAGATACTGACATGGGTGGTATATTCAATGCTGGTACATTTTCTGCCTTCAGAAGCAAAAAAAAAAAAATGTAAGTCTGAGAAAAAGGAAAGGTCTTGAAAATGTTTTAGAGGCGAGTTAAAACAGCATTAAGAGCCAGGGGTCTTTTGATTGTTCCCCTTCCCCATCCCATGCTCCTAAGGGAAGGAAGCCTGGAGCAAGCTTAAGACTGTATTTAAAGTTTAAGAAAACATTTCTGGTATTTCTGGTCATCAGGAGGATTCTAGAAGTCTCTTAACTCAGTTTCCTTCTTCCACTGGCCTCTTGTGCCTCTACCTGCCTTCAACTCTGCCTGCCACTTGCCCATGACTGGAATTTTGTGTGTCTTCTCAAAAGATCCAGGTTCAACTAAATGTCCTTTTCTATAAAAACACGATTCCTCCTATTCTCCATGTTAGGAATGAACTCTCCTTATTTCCCACCACCTTTATTCGTTATCTTGTTAAAAACCAAGTATCTAATGCAGTTGATTTTTACTTATCTTTTTTTTTTTTTAAAGAACACAACATTTTAATTTTCCTCTTGAGATACAAATAAATGTTCACTTGGAATGCTGAGGATGAGCCAAGTGGAGACAATAGTGAGCGTGTCCATTTGTTTCAGTGAATTCAAATGGAGAAAGAGGCTAAATACTCTCTAAATTGCTTTGGTCTTTTAATCTTCAGCTTATCAAAACTGTAGGCTGTTACTTCTGGAGCGACTGTTCCATAAGACTGTCATGAAAGTAGTTGAGGAGGAAGAGGGCAAATATGGAGACTTCATCACTTACGTGATGTGTAGTCCAACATCCCATGTGATCGCTAAAATTTCGTATTTGGTCAGAGCTGGCACTGAGGTCAGGGTGCTGGACAGATCGTTGTTGGTCCACTGCCTCTCAAAGGCAGGCAATTCAGATTCTCTGGGAGTTGTGGGGGCCATTCACTTGGCAGCTTGCTGGGCTAACGAGTACTTACATCTCTTGGTCAGATTTCACAGACATAGGCACCTCCACAGCGTCAAGTCCGTCAGGCCAGAAACTCCCACCCTATGATGGGTTCTTCTGGTAACTTCAGTTACATGGGGCAGTCACAACACCAAGGTTTTTGAGGAATTGACAGACATTTCAGGGTTTAGCTCCCATTTGATGTTGTTTTTCATCCCCATGTCTCCAAATGACAACTTCTAGGAAATTTCACTTGTCACCTCACCAACTTTGGTCCAGATCTCCCCTAGTTTTCCCTCTTGTCTCAGCAATTCCTCTTCTCCAAACTTCTTTGTTTCATAGAGCCTGCCCTTGAGGAAGTAGCCAGTTAATGCCCCTAATTTCTTGACTGAGCCATCACCCTGGACTCCAAATTTCTCCGTTGCCTGCATGAAGACAAGCTCCAGGTTGCCTTTGGGTTGGTATTTCAAGTCCCCCAGCAACTCACAGATATCATTTTGCCAGTGTAGCTGCAGCTTCTGGCCCTTTATGGCCAGCTGGCACCTTCCACCAGTGCTCACAATGGGTGTGTCCCCAAAGTAGAGAGCTGGCGTGACAGGTGCTTCTGGTCGGGGATGTTCCTTTCAGGTCAAGGCTGGAGTAGCACCTGGACTTTTCAGAGCAGCTGCTCAGAGTTATGCAGGCAGTAGAGCTTGGCTTGCCCCCCGTCCCCTGCCATGTTTCCCTGTGGAAGGTGACCATCAATCAAGCTGATATTAAAGGTCTTATTGACCTTATTAGAATGATTCATAAATTGAGCAGCATTCTGTTTGCAAGCAGAAGAGAGCCCTGAGATACTGCATAAAAGGAAAGATTTTATGGCCAAAAAGAAGGCAAAAGAAGAGGGACTTATTTAAGATTTGAGTAAACATCCGTATGGTGCACACATAAAGGTCTGTGACAGATTATCTCATTTTTTCTTTGGGAAATGAAGAAGTTACTTCATTGGCGCTGACCAGAAAAGTCCATACTGAACAGTTAAGACTACACTCCCAAGAGAGTTTGAAACTGCAGCTCAGTTAGATAGTAAGTCTTGGTGAGCTTAGCGTAAGAGCCTCCAATTTGCAGCTGCCATTTTTTTAAAAAAAGTAATTTTGTGACATCACTTTTTGCCTTCTGTTGGTAAGGGTAAGAACATGTGCAGCACACAAACTCTTCGTAAAAGAATTCCTGTTGAATTCATCTTTATAGCTTCCAGATCAAGAAGCACTGCTTAATGTGTGACTGAAGAGTCCTTGTCTAACGTAATCCCTTTTATAACTCAAAAAGAGGTGTTTTATATCATGTTGACTGCCTAAGAGACCAGGGAGCCAAAGAAAACAATGACCTGCCCATGGTGATTCTTCCCCCCCACCCTTCCCCACCTCCTTCTTGCTTCAAACAACAGGAAGCTTAACAAACAACAAGAAAAGCTTCCAAACTCAAAACCTAGTGAAGTGCATCTGCTGGTTATCTGTTTGGGGAGCCAGCGTCTCCTGTGTGGGACAGTTCTGTTTCTGCCTCATGAGGGATCAGTCCACTCTCAATGCAAAAGCAAATCACTACTCCTGCCACAATTTTGAGACCAGTTCCTCTTTCTCTTCTGCTTGTGGGAGTTGCCCGGGGGCCCTGGAGTGGCTGTGCATGAGCTCAACACCTGCTCTGGATGCCATGTGGATTCCGAGCTCCCTGCTGTAGCAAAGGATGAGGTTCTGTTTTTCTCAGAAAATATTCTTTCTGACTAAAGGTTTCCCATGTGTTTCTTGTCTGTTCTACTTGTCTACCATTTGCTGACAGGTTGAGGAATTATTCATCTATATAAAAATAAATAAATAAGTAGATTTATTTATTGACATGTTTCCCATTACTAGGCCAACAGCAAATCCTACCATTTGTTAGTAGATGTCAAAGTCTCAGCCTGTAATAACCCACTAAAAAAGATTCAGGTGCAAGAAACAAAGTTTCATTGTTTCTTGGACTAGGAGAGTTAGGTAAATCAAAGAGGACATGCCCAAATTGAGATAGGGCTGACTTGTTGAACAACCGTGGGCAATTTGCTTCACCCTTCCAATTCCTGGAAAATGAGAGATTAGGTTAGATGATCCTGATCTATGTAATTCCTTTCACATTTAGTCTATCTCAGTTAACAGCAAAAGTGTGGGATATAGGTCATGTATTCCAAGTGTGAAAAAATGAACATACCTCAGGGTAAAAAGGGAATATTAAAGAGAAAGTACTGTCAGAAGGGGGACCTGTTAGCTCATAGAGCCATCATTACATTTATAACTCAATTGAGATTAATGGGCAAATTTCAGCAAGACCATGCTGTTTTTCATTTTAGTTCAAAATATCTTGGGATCCCCTACCTCAGAACTCTCAAAGCCCTTTGCTAATGCCTGACCCAGTTTCGGCAGTCTCTGAGTGTCTGGCCATGAACCATCAGGCCATCCTAAGAAGTCATGAGTTGACTCCTCCTGTTCCCATCCTTTCCTATGAACCACTCGCAGTCACCATACGGGGCAGTGGCTGAGGTGAGGAAGGGGGATCCTGAATACAGGTCACACTAAAGTCTAAGCAGGGAACCACCTACACCCTGCTTTCCCTTTCTGGGCTGCTCTGGTTCTTCCCTGGGCTCTTGTTTTTATGTACAGTTAGGGGGTGCTCCATACTGTCCCTCAAAGCTGCTAACTCCTCTATTCATGATTGGACAGTAGTGGTCATTAGTATTTGAGCACTTCGACTGTCCCTCTGAAGATTTTCCAGCTTCCTTTCCACAGGGGAGTAATCGGAACTCATCTGGGGATGTTCTAGTGTTTTTTTTTTTTTGACTTTCATGAGTGGTAGGATTGATGATTCTGCAGTTGCAACCTGGAATCAGCCTTATACACAAAACTCAGCTTATCCTAGTCCGCTCTCTCCCCAGACTTCTAAGACACACTCAGCTTTATTGTGTTTGACATTCCCCCTTAGGCCTTGGTAGAGAACAGCTATTTATTTGTACAAAATTCGGAGAATATCCCACCCCCAAGAGCAGGCTTTCCTTGAGGAACCCTTACTCCAGGATCCTCCATAATGGATGGGTAAACATCCTGCAGATGGCCAACTGGTCTAGTCCCTAAGTATTTTTCAAGTGACCTCCTTGATGTAATTTATGAAGGCTGAATTGATAAACTGACCAGGGTAGTATAGCTCCACTTCTCACTAATCCTCCTCTAACTAAAAATGATGCCAGACATAAAACAACAAATACAGGAAGATTCTGAAAGGTGGAAGGAAAGGGGTATAATGTCTGGAGCCTCAGTCTTGAGCAAAGGCAAAAGGCTCCCCAGAATTTCCCTTTTACTTCCAATACGTCCCAAACAGCACAGAGATGTCTTCAACTTGGAACCTGTATGGCAAACAGAGAAAAAGCCTCAAGAAGATCCTTCTTTCTTTCGTCAAAAGACTGGGGAAAGAACAGTCTAGTTAAAACAGAAAATCCTTTAGATAATACCTGACTTACTCCAGCCAAGTACCAAATTAAAAACCAGGATCCATCTGTGGTCACAGATGTGTCAAATGCCAAGAGTGAAGAAACAGAGAAGACTGAAGATATAAGCAGCAGGCATATGTGGTGTGGAGAGCCTGGAGAGTCAGAAGAAGCAGCTTTGTTCAGTATCTTTGGACTCTGATTTTAAGATTTAGAAGAACTTGGATGTGACTTAAGCAGATAATAATGGGGTCAGATTTGAGTTTTAGAAGGTTCACTGCAAGGGCTAAAAAGGGAGCAATTGTAATATTTCAAGTGAGAGATGATGAAAACTTTCCTTTGGGCAAGAGAAATTTAATATGTAGAGGTTGGGGAGTTCTGAAAATGTAAGGAATTGGTAACTGGTTGTGAAGGACAGTGGTGCAAGGAAACAAGGTGTCAGAATGACCTTTCGATTTCTAACTTGGGTAACCAGCTGAGATACGGAGCTTGAGGGAATGAGCAGGTTAGGAGGTCGAAATGTTGAGGTGAATTTGAGGTGCCTTTGGGCCATTCAGGGAGAGAATTTTCTCTATGCCACTAGCTGCACAGGTCTAAAGGGAGCTGCTGTGTGGTAGAGGAAGTAGATTAGAGCCCGATTATCACGTCACTGAGGAACTGGAGTTCCTATGCAAATGAACCTGAGGTGCCTGGCCATGCATGACTCACCCATAATTTCCCCTGAAACAAGGTATTTGGTTCAACCAGGACCCTTTTCTCCTATTTTTTATCTTGGTCTTACTCATCTGAGAAAGGGCCCAGGGTTTTTAAAAAAACATCTGGGCTGCCATATCTATGCAGTACCTTTAATTAAGTTAAATTAAACTCTCACAAACTCCTTCAAAGAGGTAAGGTTTTTTAAAACAGGAGAAACTTTCTCCCACTCCCCAAACACTTCTCTGATTTCTGGCAGGAGAGAAAAAGAATGAGTCACTGTAACAACACCAGATATCTTAAATGAGAGCTGGATGGCACATTAGTTTTGGTTGAGTTGAGAGAAGAAGAAAATTTTTGCCTATGAAAGAAGAATATTTCTATGAGTTGACTTTTGTGAATAGTGCTAATATGAGCAGAAGAGTGACAGATACTTTATAAATAAATTGCGGACTGTAAACTCCAAGGAATACTACACAGCTGTTAAAATGTTAGATCTTGGGGTGACTATGGTAAGTGAAGTAAGTCAGCATGAAGGTGAGACACCAGGTGGCTTCACTTATTTGTGGAATACCAATAACCAAAGAACCCATACTGAGAAAGCACAGAAAAATAATCCTACGACTTTGTGAAAAATATTCTGGTGCCAAGAGGGAATGGGGGCTGGAGGTGAG